GGGGCGGGCGTGAGTGGGGAGAGGGAGGGATTGGAGGCGAGGTGGGGCGGGCGGGGGGAGACGCTTGCTCCCAAGGAGACCGGGGAAGGACGAGAGAGTCGAGAGCAGTGTTCCCTCTAAGCGGTGGAGTCTTGTGAGCAAAAATTCTACTTTGCGAGCTCCTGGCATTAAAGTTGTGAGCGAGCAATCTGGCTCCTGCAGAAATCAGTTTGCCCTGGAGCCCTCCTTCCTGAGCTGAGACAAAAACGTGTGAGCCGGAGGCTCAAGAACTGTGAGCTGGCTCACACTGACTCAGTTTAGAGGGAACACTGCTCCTAACCAAGGCTCCCTCTTCAGCTGTGGAGTCTGGTGAGCAAAAATTCTACTTTGCGAGCTCCTGGCATTAGAGTTGCAAGCGAGCAATTTGGCTACTGCATAAACAAGTTTGCTCCGGAGCCCCATCCTTCCTGAGCTAAGACAAAAATGGGTGAGCTGGAGGCTAAAAAACTCTGGGCTAGCTCACACTAACTCATCTTAGAGGGAACACTGAGGGGGAAGAAGCGCTACCCCTTGTAGCGCCCGGCTCTGGGCAGGGGCGATTGGAGAGCTGGCCGGCGCTAGGGACTCTGCACATGCTCAGAGGCGCGCTGGCCCCGGAGCAGCCCTGGCAACCAGCCAGGGATGCCAGCCTCCAGGTGCGGCCTGGGGAGGGGGGTCACCTGTCACCCCAGCACGTCTCCAGAGCAAGGCTCCCTCTAAGTTGCGGAGTCTTGTGAGCAAAGATTCTACCTTGTGAGCCACTGGCGTCAAAGCTGTGAGCGATTGGGCTGCTGCATACATTCGTTTGCTCTGGAGCCACATCGTTCCTGAGCTAAGAAGAAGAAGAGATTGGATTTCTACCCAGCCCTTCACTACCCATAGGTGTCTCAGAGCAGCTGACAAACTCCTTTCCCTTCCCTTCCCCACCACAGCCGGGCTGTGATAAAGGAAGAGCCGAGCACCGAAGAATAGATTCCTTTGAACTATGGTGCTGGAGAAGACTCTTGAGAGTCCCTTGGACTGCAAGAAGATCAAATCAGTCGATCCTAAAAGAAATCAACCCTGACTGTTCCCTGGAAGGCCAGATAATGAAACTGAAGCTCAAAGACTTCGGCCACCAAATGAGAAGGGGGCACTCACTGGAGTTGAAGACCCTGATGCTGGGAAAGATTGAAGGTCAAAGAAGACGGGGACGGCAAAGGATGAGATGGTTAGACAGTGTCATCGATGCAACGAACATGAAATTGAGCCAACTTCAGAGGACGGCGGAAGACAGGAAGGCCTGGCGGGATCTGGTCCATGGGGTCGCAAAGAGTCGGACTCGACTGCGCGACTGAACAACAACAACAATACACAAACAATTAAATGTATAATCAATCATTGAAAAACTTTACATTGAGTCTATTCTTTAACATTATTATCTATCCATTTATACAATCTCGACCATCTTTTCAAGAAAAATTCTTCTCCTTTTCCCTGAATTAACAAGCTTAATTTGTCAATTTCTGCTAACTTTAACAATTTCAAACTTATCTCTTCCCTATTGGGTCCCCCCCCCCTAATTTCCAATATTGGGCCAGAAGTATTCTCGCAGACGTTATTATAAGAGTCACTAAGTAGGCATTCACGATAGTTAAGACCTTCCGGTATCATGTTCAACAGATATATTTCTCGATCTAACATTAAATAAATATCAATTTAAATATCCCCCAGGTTTGGGGTCAGAGAGAGGCCGTGGCTCAATGGATCAGTCTCTGTGTTGCATGCGGAAGGTCCCCGGTTCAGTTCCCCGGCATCTCCAGGTAAAACCACCAGGTTGTAAAGGTAAAGTTTGGTGTAGTGGTTAAGTGCGCGGACTCTAATCTGGGAGAACCGGGTTTGATTCCCCACTCCTCCACTTGCCCCTGGCTGGATGACCTTGGGCAAGCTGTAGTTCTGATAAGACCTGTTCTTGAAAAAGAGCAGTTTCTGTCAGAGCTCTCTCACCCCCACCTACCTCACAGGGTGTCTGTTGTGGGGAGGGGAAGGAGTTTGTAAGCCGCTCTGAGAGTCCTTCGGGGAGTGAAGGGCGGGGTATAAATCCAGTCCTCCTCCTTCTTAAGGTAAAGGTTTCCCTCGCTCAAAAGCCAGTCGAATCCAACTCTAGGGATGCGGTGCTCGTCTCCATTTCCAAGCCGAAGTGCCAGCGCTGTCCAACGACTTCTCCATGGTCACGTGGCCGGCATGACTGGACACCGAGGCGCACGGAATGCTGTTCCCTTCCCACCGAAGCAGTACCTATTGATCTACTTACGACTTCTTGCTTTCAAACTGCTAGTTTGGCAGGAGCTGGGGCCAGAGACGGGAGCTCACTCCATCACGCGGCACTCAGGTCTCGAACTGCCGAACTACCAACCTTCCGGTCTGTAGCTCAGCGTCTTAACCACTCGAGCCACCACAGCCCCTAACACCAGGTTGTAGGGGATGGGAAAGACCTCTACCTGAGACCCCGGAGAGCAGCTACCAGTCTGAGTAGGCAAGAGACTTGATGGACCAAGGGTCTGGTTTGGTATAAGGCAGCTTCCTGTTGTGTTTGTGTGGTTCCGCTTCTACCTTGTCCTTCCCAAAGGAGATGCCAGGGGTGGAACTTGGGACCTGCAGGCAGACGCCGTACCACCGATCCATGTCTCGTCCCCTGCTGTGAGGTCATATACCATACGGCAGGGCTCCCAAAGCTTTTGGAGCCCGCGAGCACATTTGGGATTCTGACACAGGTTGGTGGGCGCGACCACAAAATGGCTGCCGCAGGAGAGGGGCCGACTGAAAAGAGGCTGCAGCGGGAAGTGGAGCCAACCGCAAGATGTCAGGGAGTGAAGTCATGCATAACTCGAACAGCAACGCTTCAACGTTTCAGGAAGACGCTCTGGTTACCAAGATAGTTGAGGTCTCCCTTGCTCGAAAGCCAGTCGAGTCTGACTCTAGGGGGCGGTGCCCATCTCCGTTTCTGAGCCAAAGAGCCAGCGCTGCCCGAAGATGTTTCCGTGGTCATGTGGCCGGCATGACTAGACGCCAAGACAAACAGAATGCTGTTACCTTCCCACCGAAGCGGTACCTGTTGATCGACTTGCAGTTTCTTGCTTTCGAACTGCTAGGTTGGCAAGAACTGGAGATGGAGACGTCAGCTCACTCCGCCATGCGGCACTCGGGTCTCGAACTGCCGAGCTACCAACCTTCCAGTCTGCAGCTCAGCGTCTTAACCTCTGAGCCACCGCAGCCCCTACGGTCACTGAGATACCTTCTAAAATTAACCTGTTATTCTAAAGTTTTTTCTTGCATGTACACAGCTTACCTGGAGTCAGAAATTTGGATCTCTACTGGCCAATGAGAAGCCCTGCTGGGCCAGAGTCTCACTGGCCCCACCCGTTTTCTCCAAACATTTGCTGGGTGCCAGGAAAGAAGAAGAGATTGGATTTGTACTCCACCCTTCACTATCCGAAGGAGTCTCAGAGTGGCTCACAATCTCCTGTCCCTTCCCCTCCCCACAACAGACACCCTGAGAGCAGTGTTCCCTCTAAACTGAGTTAGTGTGAGCTAGCTCACAGTTTTTTAGCCTTCAGGTCATGCATTTTTGCCTTCGCTCAGGAAGGAGGGCTCCAGAGGAAACTATTTTATGCAGCAGCCAAATGGCTCGCTCACAACTTTAATGCCAGTAGCTCACAAAGTAGAATTTTTGCTCATAAGACTCCACAGCTTAGAGGGAACACTGCCTGCAAGGTAGGTGGGGCCGAGAGAGCTCTTTTGAGGACTTCTCATAGCTCAGAGAGAACTTGTGACTGGCCCAAGGTCACACCAGCAGCTGCATGCGGAAGCGTGGGGGATCAAACCCGATTCTCCCAGATTACAGTCTAGTCTCCTAACCACTACATCAAACCGCCCATGGGCACCACGTTGGGGACCCCTGCCCTACAGAAATTTACCTCTGAGCATGTACAGAGTGCATATTCTGTCTTTTTGCATAAGACTACAGTGGTTCCTTCCAAGGCAAGTGTGTGTGTGTGGGGGGAATCCAGGCTGACTCCTCTTTTTAGGAATGGAGCCCTTCCCACACCGTCTTTGAGTTATTATTGAGTTATTGAGAGCCAGTTTGGTGTAGTGGTTAAGTGCGTGGACTCTAATCTGGGAGAACCAGGTTTGATTCCCCATTCCTCCACTTGCACCTGCTGGATGACCTTGGGCAAGCCGTAGTTCTGTCAGAGCTGTCCTTGAAAAAGAGCAGTTTCTGTCAGAGCTCTCTCAGCCCCACCTGCCTCACAGGGTGTCTGTTGTGGGGAGGGGAAGGGAAAGGAGTTTGTAAGGCGCTCTGAGACTCCTTTGGGTAGTGAAGGGCGGGGTATAAATCCAATCTCTTCTTCTTTTCTTCTTCTAATTTATGCAGTAGACAAATCACTTTAATGCCAGGAGCTCTCAAAGTAGAATTTTTGCTCACCAGACTCCACAGCTTAGAGGGAGCATTGGTCTGAAGCAGCAGGACAGATCTGAGTCCAGTGGCACCTTTAAGACCAACAAAGTTTTATTCAAGGTATATACACACACTTCTTCAGATACATTGAAGTGGAAGTTACCAGTTCATACATATAGGTAGAGGGTGGGCAGCAAATTAGCATCCCACATAATGGAGATGTTTAACTGATACAAGGACTAAACAGGAATAACAAGCTTAGTTCATATGGTCACCATTTGATTGGAATCAGTTCTGGAGGGAAACCTACTGAAGCAAATAAATATATCAAAATTGGAGACTGATGTATAAATGTACCCTTCTTAACAGTGGGATGCTGAGAGTAATTAACTGAGGCCCTGTTGTTACGCTCCATCCGTCTCCTCTCGAATACCTCCAAACTCACAGTCTC